CACCCGGAACGGTCGCAGCGACTGCGAGACAGCTCAAAGACTTGAATTCGATTGCAGTCAGACAGAAAAAAGAATCGCCATCGCCGATTATAATCTCATGACTATTCTCGTCGCCTTCCGTAATAGATTTTTTTTTCATACGGCGCACTCTGACATTCACGACGTCGACGTCAAAGCTTTCCAGTCAGAGAGCTCGTGTGACCGCTTTCGCTCATGCTGCTACTGTTGCAGCCACTACACAAACAGGCACATACCTGTTTCAAACCGACGACCCAGGGATAAACCGGACATAGTCCGTGGCCTACACGCACAGCGAATTGAACAACGACATTCTGAAGTTGATGAATACGTCTTTACATCAGACAGGATAGCCGAAACCAATTGAGACAGCAGGAGAGGATAGCTGCCCATCACAGCGAAAGATGAAGTCCGACTAACATTATAGGAACACTGGTTTCACGAACTGCACGTTTTCTGTTTCTGAGCGAGAGAAAAACGATCCATAAATCCTCTATGACAGCCCTTGCCCAGACGAGGCCATATTTAAGCGCCTAGCAGTTCTCGCTCGCATTGAACCCTCATCAATTTCAAAAACTTTTGAAAAAAAACTGCATTTTATGGAGGAACTACTAGAACACTTCCTGCACACCTTTTCTACTCGAGTTGAGTTTTAATAGCTTTGATGACCCAGAATCTCGAATAGCTTGTAATTCGCAGCTCCCAACGTCACTAGGGAATAGTTTCCATGGCGATTCCTCTTATGAACCCACTTTCTGTCTCAGGTTTCAATCTATATTAGATCTGAAAGAACAAGCGGAATAGCGAGGAACTAATCCAACACTGCCTTCTCGAGGATCTTGGAAAAAAATTGGAAATATACTATCAACAACCTTTACCCAGTTGCCCATAACCACTACCGGAGCAATGGAGACTCTGTTTAGCCTGGAACGGCGGTCAACAATGTTACTGTGCAAAATCGCGCACACATCTCTAGACGCTGATTACTCCATCTATGAATAGCAAACAAGATGAGAAACTTGATTAGGTTGTTGTCCAACACGCACTGTAATGCATCAGGTGATCGTGATGTTGTTTTTTCCTCATTGATGAAAATAACTGCTCCGACCGTACCGACTGTAATTACAAAAGGAACAACTTTAACTTCAAAGTGTTATTTTTTCTAAAAGTTTAGTCAATATTCAGAACCAATCCCGTGTAGAGTCCGCCCTGCTCCCAAGTTGGAAATCCATTTTGAAAAAAGAAAAAAAAAGAAAAATCTGCTATGCACCGAAAAAACCCTGCTATAAAACCCCACCAACCACGTCCAGATCAGAAGTGGTAGCATAAAATAAACCCAGTCAACAAAACTGACAGCTAAATCCCTTCATTTTTGAAATCTGAAAAAAAAAAGATAAAGATAAAGATTTAGCCGCCGACCATCCCCTCTTGATATTGCACGCTTTCTACTTCCATTTGTACACCCTATGGTGGAATCGTGATTGGCCCTAGAATGACTGCGGGGCCAGCAATGACAAAGTCCAGTGTTTTTTATCCTCCCAGACATGTCTGGTACCAATTATCGACCCCGGAGGGATGGAAGGCTTGGTTGGCCTGGGCGACTCACGACCCAGGATTTGATCCCCGGACCGCTCGCGTGGTAAGCGCGCCACTTGTCACTACACCACTCCGGGCCCTTAAATTTACTTAAAGAAAAACCTACTTCTGACTACAAAAAATTAAAACGATATGCTTTCAGACATAACGAACGAGAGACACTAAAATCGTTTTAATGAAGAGTACTTAAAAGGACCTATTTAAAGAGAAAACTTAAAATCGTTAACATTCATATTGAAAGTTCTTCGACTACGAATCCTCCTTTAGCGCTCCGAAAAAGATGCAACCATTTTGATTTATGAATATGTAGAATTCGCTAATGAACCATTTGCCCTGCCTGTAACAAAACTCAACGAGTTATCAGCACAGACCACCTACTAACGGAACCTACCAAACCGACATCGTCAAGCAAAAATAAAAAAAAATTGGTTTTTTTTTTAACTATTAATGACAACTTCCAATCACTGTAATAGCTAGTACGCTTGAATCGAAGCACAAACCATCGTGTCGATATCCCTCAAGTAATGTCCATTTATTTAGCCACCGGCTTTCTTCCTGAAAAAAAAAAGAACGTCAGCATCACAAACCCAACATTCAACAAGCTTTCCAATCTAATTAAAGTTATTAGAACCCGATTTGCCATCATGCTTGGAACTGGCGGCTTTTGCCCTTCAAATATTGTAAACATTCATGTCAACACAGCGTTTCGACTTGATCAATAGCTCTGAGGCCCTGGGATGCGCCACACCATCGAAAAGACGACGGCGATCACAACCGCGACAGGTTAAATCTATGATGTATGGATTCCTCTCACATCACGCAAAAAGAATTGTTCATAAGAAAACTCCTCCTCGTGTCACGCCATCTCGTAAGGAAGAAGAGGAGCAAGTAATGCTCGCTCTTGAAATTCTACTTTTTGCGAAATCTGCCCTATTTTCATCACAGACGTTGCCATCTATCATGGAGGTTTTCTGACTTCTCTATTTGCTAGATCATCTTCGCTATGACATCATCTTTGAAGCCCGCGAATAAAGAGGTTGCCCATTATCTCTCACTTGTGCTCGGAGCTTATCGGCAGTTAGTCACGCGTGCAGTGGACATAGAACAAGCTCAGTTTGCTCGCAAGAACTACACTTTCGAGGATCAAAGAACGATCCATCATTTTCCTCATTACATTTAATAACAAGACAGGTGACTTTGTTTAATGCAAATATATTCCATGAAAAAATCAATACCATTCCACGGATCAAAAACCATTAGGAACGTAGCGGATAAAGTCAGCACTCACACAGCGTTTTCCTGAAGTGCCAACGATGATACGGACGAGCCGCCACCTCCACGCGTCGACGATGATGACATCACTAATCGATCAACTTTCTGTTGACTTTGAGTGCTGGTGCTGCCCTTCCGGCTTCGACGTTTTCGAAACAAGCGCTTATGGGCCGATTTAGCGACCGACCATGTTCCTGCAACCATCACTGCACACTTGACGACAGAATGAACGGGCGCTTTTAGATCAATATTTTCTGCTGCTAGGACGATTGAGCGGAGGCGACGGTTGTTGCGGTAGATAGATTCAGTGCAGTCGGAGTAACGACGGTCGTGTGTGTGCTTGGCAGGTTCACGGGCAAGGACTACGACGCACACTCAACTCACAGCACCTGGGAATGAGCGTGCGGGAAACAGTCGCCGCCGGTGATAATGTGACAACAACGCCAGTTATAGTCTTGCTGATAGTGAACGATATGCTAATTCCCCGTAACACAGTTGCAAAGCAGGTCGCTATACATTACTACAGTATCTGTTGACTGATCACCCGGAACAGGTCCTGCTCTAGCGCTCATTTCCATAGTCACCTTTCCATCATCACCAAAGTCATCATATAGACAACCGTGTATGGTAATACTACCTAATGATTCTAATAGGAAAAGACACTTATGATGAGCAAATAGAAGGGGTTTGAATAACATTGGAAACAGAAATTTCATTAGAGAAGATGGGCGATATTCACGAAAAAGAAGCGTGCAATGGTTCCTATTCTGATCGTTTTATCGGAGATTGAAAACACCCAAATGTGATGCTCGCGCCTGGACAATCTTACTGTCACAGCTCTCCCGAACAACTTTGAAAGGCATACTCCTTACAAAGGTTTCAAGATTACCCTCGAAGAATACTTAGAAGCTTACTAAGAACCCGCTTCAGATTCACTTTCCTGAAAGAAAGCTGCGCACTTTCTCATAGAACGGCCATTTTCAACAAAGATTCTGACTGGAAAATTCCTCCTTTTCCCTCCCCACTCCCCCGAAACAGCTATACTACGCCACAACTGGTTTTAATGCAGTCTCCTCAGCATCCCTCTTTTCAGACAAAACCTTTGATTCCAAAACATCATGGGACAATCGATGGTTCCTAACCACAACAGCACAACAGCACAACAGCAATCAAAGTGACGGGAACATATGGCTCTCTGAGAGACCAAAGGAACCCGCGCCGTAGCCTCTCATGAAATGTCAAGCTCCTAGCAGCAGAAAACATGAACCCACACGTAAAATAGCATATAATAAATGAGCCCAGCAATATAATCTACATTTGCGTGAGCCAATTACATGACAATAACCAGTTCTCGCAGATGACTGGAAATAGGAAAATATTTCAAAAAGAAATAGGGAAGTTCAAAACAAGTATTCGATCACTTGCAAGGAAAGAAATAAAATTCTACGAGTGCCATGAACTGCGGACAGCAAATGAACAGCTGAAAGCGACATCACACATTCAGTTGACGCATAATGAATGCAATTAGTGCAAAGATTCACTACAGCACTAACATTGTTCCAAAGAGTATCGACGGAATGAGGTAGTGCACATAAACAGCAAGAGGAACAGCTCTAGTTCAAAACAATTCAAGTGGAGGAAAATCCCAAGCCAAAGTGGTCATATGAATAGACATGCAGTAGCGGTCAAAAGGGTTCGTCGGAACTACTTTTCGTGCCTTATGATTTTCTCACTTGGAGAACCGGCTTTAAGTGCTGATATTTAAGGCCTCTTGATGATTTCAAACTTTTGAATATTGAGAATTCAAGATGTTTGAATAAGAAAACTCAACTAAACCTAATTTCTCAGAGAAAAGTATACACCGAAACTGTCGCAGCAAACACCTGGTCGCTAGATGCGTTTTTGGAACCTGATATTGAAACTTTTTTTCGGATGCTGCTGGTCGATTATATACAGACCGCGAAGGTTTGCTTTCAATGCGTCTCAACCGCCCAGAATTCAGTATCAGCAGTGACAGCGTGTAAAATGAGTCAGCCGGTTGGGTAATCAATGTGCTCTAATGGTATATCAGTTAATGCGATAAGTTTCTAGGATCGTCGCCCACAGCTGAATCCGCTGCCGTGCTTGTTCCTTGCTTTTTGCGAAGCGTTATTGATGGACAGTTTCCTATAGCTTTTTCCATCACTGTCACTGCATCATAGTCCGCCTTCTGATGAGGTTAGGATCGCCCCCTTCGAATTTCTCAGAAGTACATTATTTACCCGTGGTTATCCCACTTTTTCATGTCCGGGTCAAGCCTCAGTTTGATCAATCACGAATCAAATCGAATTTTCTTACATATTGGAAATAGCGGACGGTGTTTTGTGCAACGATCGGAATATTCCTCCTTCCGTACCGAGCTCTTATGCTCGCAGAATTTAGCGAACTGGGCAATGCAACATGATGGCCCTAGAAAAACCGGGTGCGTAGCGTTTCTCCTCCTGGGGTCAGATCATTAAAATTGAG